GCAGGGCTGTGTCCTCCCTTCCCTTCCAGTGGGGTCTCCAGCAGCATTTGGGGCACAGGACACCCTTGGTGTAGGTCTTGGCCAGCCATTCACCTCCCATGCCCTGCTGCAGGAGGTGACTGTGGAGGCCCTGCTGCAGGCTACAGGGCTCCCTGCTGACCTGGTGCACCACGCGCTGACACCGCTGACCCACGGCCAGGGCGTCCTGGTGCAGAGCTGCACACTGGGAGGTGAATGTGGGGCTGGGGCACCCCTGGGGAGGTGCTGCTCTGAGCCCTGAGTAGGTGCTGGGCTTTGGGGTGCACAAACTTGTACGGCAAGTGAGTAGGCTGGGGTGGGTCTGTCTGGTGTTTCTGGGGGTGCGAGTCTGTGTGCCAGGTTGGGGCCATTAGGCCAGGTGTAGGGTTGGGAGTGGTGTGTGGGGCTGGGGCTTGGGGCCATGCTTGGGGTGCGAGTCAGTGTGGATGGTTGTGTCTTGGGTCTGTGTGTGGGTTGGGGACAGGGATGGGGTTGTGTGCGTGGCTGTTGCTTGGGGCCACGTGTGGGGGACAGGGCTGTGGCAGCCAACTGTGGGGGCAGCAGGAGGAGGCCCAGGTTGGGTCCAGCAGCCACACGTGTGTCCTGGGGCTCCTTCAAGGCCCTGCTGGAGGCTTGGCTGACCCTGGGTTGGGTGCTGGCTCCAGGTGCACTGCGGCTGAACCAGGTAGCCCTGGCCCAGGCCTCTGGCCACCACCTGAGGCTGCTGCCTCAGCAGAGATACCTGCGGACAGAGAGGGCTGAGGTGAGCGCCCTGGAGAGGAAGAGGAATGTCCTCTGTTGCCTCATCACCCGCATCCTCAAGGTGGAGAAGCAGCTCCACGTCGACAACCTGGTGTTCAGGGTACGAAGGTCCTGGGGGGCAGAGAGGGGCTGCATGGGTGCTGTGGCACACTGCAGTGTGGGGCTCCCTTGCTGCCATAGGTGATTGATGCCTGTCAAAAGGGTGAACTGGGGCCAGGTGTGCAGTTTCTGAGCTTCTGCTGCCACAGCGTGGACGTGCTGTCCTGTGTCCTGCACCTGTTGAACCAGGGCTATCTCCGGCGCCAGGAGGGGAGGCCTCATGTCTTGGAATACATCTCTGCTGAACCCACAACACCCCCCACTTCCCAGGTCCAGCCACAGGTTGCCTTCCAGACTGTAGAGATCAAGATGGCATCAAGCCTGGCCTCTGCCGAAAAGAGAAAGACATTTTCCACATTCAGGTAGATGAGGACCTGGTTGGGAGGACTCAGGCTGGGGCTAGTCTGTTTCTTCCTTGTGGGTTCTATTTAAATAAATGAGCCAAGTGCCATCCAGTCCTGGTTCACAGTCTGTCAGAGAGCTCAGCTGGCTCATGGCTGGGAGTGTGGTGAGGCCACGTTGCTGTGGTCAGGCAGCCCTGACTGCTGTGCTTGCTAGAGTGGGTGTAGTACCTGCACCCTGCCCACATTTATTCTCCCCCGCTGTGTTTTGGTCCATTGCCCTGAGACATGGGGGACCACACCCCCCCTGCCATAATGGTACCAGCATTAATTTATTAAAATTAATCCTGAAAAGTAACCGTACAATAAATTTAAAAAAAATAGAATCTTGTAAAAAAAAAAACCCAGGTGCCCTCATGCCACACCTCCAGCTGGCAGCACCCTGGGGTAGGGCTGGTTGGGAAGGGATGGGGGAATGAAGAGGACAGCCTCAGCAGCAGGGCTGCAGGGGGACTGGAAAAGCTGCTGAGGCTCTGCTGCAGAGGGCATGGCCAGGCACAGCAGCATGAGGCTGGCAGTGGGGCTGGCAAGGGGCAGCACAGGCGTTGCGGGCCCTGCTCAGCACCTGCCCCCTGCAGAGCAGTCTGGGTGGCTGCAGCGTGGGGGAACCTGCCTGGGCCCAGCCCAGCTGGGGCCCTGGCTGGCTGCAGGGTGGCCTGGCAGGTGCATCTGTGGAGAGTGAGGCCCAGAGCCCTTCCTGGGGCCCTGCTGGCTGGTGCCAACCCTTGTCCCAGGCTGCTGTTGGGGGTCATGGGAGGCAGATGGCATGGTGCCCTGGCTGGTGTTGGAGGGTGCGTGGACCCAGTCTCACTGGCCTCACCTTCACGGGTCTTGGCCCACAGGGTGGAGGTGTGGTATCCCCCCTCCACAGAGCAGGCAGGGACTGGCCACAGAAGATGGGGACAAGAGCATGTCCATTTCTCTGTCTCTTCTTGCAACCCACTGCAGCTCCATTCCAGGGATGCCCCCATGTATCACACACTCTTCGAGTAGCCAAAGATACCCACAGGGAGGTATTTCACGTGTGTTGGCCACTGTGCTGCCAGCTGGAAAAACTTCACATCGTTCCACTCCACCCCATCTATGGAGACTGAGAGGAGAGGGTGCAGTGAGGCACAGCCCTGCCACAGCCAGCCTCTGCTGCTTGGTCTGCCCCCCTACAGCCCCAAATGGCTTATACCTTCCCTCACCTCGCAACATGGTGTTCTGGTGCTTGGCTGTGCAGATGAGGCGTGTGATCCCTTCGATGACTTGGCTTTTGGGTTCCAAGTCCTTTTCTTTAGGTTTCTTGCTCAGGAACATCACTAGGGGCCAAGGCCAGACAAGACCAATGTTAAGATGTCCCCACCTGGCGCTGGGTGGGAGCCTTGCCCCAGGGCTGGCTTATTGACTGGCCCCTCCTGGGCCAGCTCTCAGCCCTGTCCTCCCTCCCACGCTTTTTGCAAAGCACTGTGGCCCCACAGCCAGAGAGCACCCAGAGTGGGCTTGGTTACCTTTCTTGTTTTTCTCCTTGGTGACCACAGTCATGGCCATGGTGCTGGGGGGCACCAGTTCCCCTGTGCCAGGGATGCGGCTGACCTGGAGTGAGCGGAAGTTGCTCTTGAGTGTGTTCTTGATACCCGTCTCCCGCTTGTCACCCTCCTTCTTCCTGTCCAGCCCTTGTGTTGTCCAGTAGTCCACCTGCAGGCCCATTACCTCCACACCAGGGCTCAGAGACCTGGGCAAGATGGGCAGCACCATGTAGCACACAGGTGCTGCCCATGCTCCTCTCCTTCCCAATTGCCCAGCTGCAGCCTGCCCAGGGAGCAGCAATAATACTCCTACCCCAGCCCCTGCTGCCTCAGGCTAAGTGTGGCTTGCCTTCTTACCCAGCACCCGAGAGGCCACTGCTGACAGACGGGGAGGGTGGCGGAGTGCTCACGGTCTCCTTGCCATAGGGAGCTGCTCCACTGGTGGCTGGCGCTGAGCTCAGCAGGGAGGGGGTACAGACTGTGGCATCATCCGAGTCCACTGCGAAGGAAGAGTGCGGGTTGTGGGGGCTGGGGGACCCCAACAACGGCCTCCCACAGTGGAGAAGAGAGCTGGGCTCCCAAGGACTCACCAGAGGCACTGAATGACTGCTCCACCAGGCCCACCTTCACCACCTGCAAGGACAGATGAGTCAGAGGACAGCCAGCATCAGTAGGGCTGCGCACTGCCCCTCTCTCCTCAGCCCCAGTGGCCTGCTGGCCCCTCAAAACACTCACCCCCACAAAGGGGACAAACTTCTGGCAGGAGTCCTCGTCGGGGCTGGAGAAGGAAGAGAGGTTGGTCAGGGTTTGGGTGTGCTGAGCACCGAGTGCCATGTGACTATCCTTGTGCCCAGGCACCCCCGCACTGGCAGGGGTCAATGCTGGCTCACAGCCACTGGCACAGTCTCCTCTGCCCTCCCTCCCATGGGACCCCCTGTCCCCAACATGGCAGCACAGGGCACACTACACAAGGAGGCAAGGAGTTGTCCCCTCCAGTGCTGGGAAAGGGCTTGCATGCGGGAGGGCAGCCCTGCCCCACTTTGGGGTCACGGCTCCTCTGCACAGCAAGAGGGATGGACGCACATGGGGGAAGGTGGGGGGGGCCAGGCAGCGGCACAGCAAGCACAAGCCAATACCTGATATAAAAATCAAAATAGAGACTTCTCTTCCTTGAGTGCCAGAAACCAAGAGAAGGGAGAGGTGAGAGTGCAGCTGGAACACGAGCGTCAACCCCCGGGCAGCACAATACCAGCTTGCAGCCCCCACCCAGCCCATCCCAGTCCTGGCAGCTGGTCCCCACCACTGGGACTGTCACAGCCACAGATGCTGGAGGGGCCGAGCACACCGGGAGGTGGCAGGGAATGGTGCTGCTCTCACTGTGGAACCCCAGCTCCCCTCAGCACCACGTTGCTTGTCAGCGGAATGCTGAGCCTCACTCACTTGTCCCATGTCCCACATCCCTGTCCTGAGCACAGCCCAGACTGGGGCCACATGAGGGAGGACAAGTGTCCTGGCGACACGCTCACCTCTTCTGCTTGTATGTCAGCATGGCCTCAGAGATGGGAAGCTGGTGAGAGAGGCTGGCTCCAGCGATGAACTGGGCAACACGGCCTGCAATGTCCACAGTGTCTGTGGGCACAAAGAGCCGTGAGGGCCTCAGTGGCAGCTGGGCTCACCATCAGGGCACTGCTGATGCCACCCTGCCCTGCTCCTCACCTGCGGTGGGTGGCTCAGCCCTGCTGAACAGCTCCCGCCATGCCGTGTCCAGGAAGAGAGTGCTGTATTTGTTATCCACTGAGGCCAGGTACTTGGCCAGAGGGTGAGAGCCTGTGGGTAAGAAGGGCAGCATTGGCTCCAGGCAGGGGAATCTGGGGAGGTAGGAGAGGACAGCCCTGGGAGCAGGCTCACAGTGGCTCTCACCCAGCGGCACAAGAAGAAAGCGAAGGTAGTTGAGCCAGTCGGGTGTCTTGCTGGCCAATTGCTCCACAAAGAAACGGAGGACAACACTCAGGTAGCTCTGGTCCCCTGCCACCACCACCTTCACCGGGGGAGGCATATGAGAGTTACAGTTACAGCTGCCAAAGGAAGAGAAAAGGAGACCATGAAGGATGTGTAGTGGCTCAGCAGGCGGGCCAGGGGACATGCCCTGCCAGGCCAACTGACAGAATCCCATTGCTGAGAATTTCCAGCTTGCTGTGCACTGCCAGGGGCAAAAGCAGCACTGGGATACTGGGATACCGGGATACTCCACTTTCCCCAGGTCTACACTTGTTTCTACAGTAATATCCACAACCCCAAAAGGTCCTAATGAGCCCTGGGGAGCCACGGCCATACCGAGCCCTTCTCTCAATTCATATGGTGCCACCAGGCTGAGCCCAAGCTGTACTCACTATCGCTGGATGCGGGAGACAGTGGTGTTGAAGGCTGCCTGGATGTCCGCCACGGAGCAGGTGGATACGACCAACTGCTTGTGCGCCTGGAGCTGCTCACTCACGTACTGCCAATGCAGAGAGCTCAGGTTAAGGCACTCTGGGGGCATGGCTGTGCTGGCCCCCCCTGCCCTCTGGGATAGAACTGGGACCCCTGTCCCCACCCATGCCATGTGGGTAGGCTGAAACCATCAGGTCATTCATGGCTGCATGCCTGAGCATCCCTGCTCCTCCCAGCTCTGCCCTAGAGGCTGCCTGCCCCAGCCCTCTGCTCTCACCTTTGAGCACAGCAGTCACCACCCTTGCCATGGCAAGGGCAAAACCGTCCCAAGAACCAGGCTGTGCTCCTTGAGATAAGTGGTTTGGTCCAGAGACACTCTGATTTAAATTCTGCCATCCCACAGCACGGCCCAGCTATAAGCTCAGTCCACCTCTGCTCATTCCCTCCTTTTGCTCTCCCCCACTGTGGCACTCCAAAATCCTTCTGTGTCTCTTCAGGTGTCTGCATGCAGTTCAACAATTGTAAAACAGGCAGTCGTGCTAAACAAGGGGGCTTAGAAGATACCCGATGGGGTCTGGAAGTGGGCATTGATCCTTTTTTCCCTATCCAGGACAAGTGCCAGAGCAGGAATATGTCAAGAATGCACAGCCTGAGTCAAGACTTCACCACCCTTACCGAGAAGCCCTTCCTTCTGCCATAAAATTTTCCAGCACTGTTTCTGGATATCAGATGTAGCTGCAGGATCCTGAAGGGGTCTCAGAGGTGTTTTGTCTAACTGTTTGCATGTTTGCACATACGTACATGTCCCTGCTCACCTTTAGCGGTCAACTCCTCCAGGTATGGGGGAGGCAAGTGCTCATCAGGGGCTGGGCCCAACCTCACAGGGACAGTCGGCATGAGACAGGAAGGCCTCACATGCCCCCATGTCTGGAGACCCCAGCTCTGACAATGAAGTTAATGCTCCCTGGGAATGGCAGGCAATGTTCTTCCATCTCTCAGTGGGAAATACCTCTGCTGCTTCCCAGGGCCTGGTGCCCACAGAGGAAGGGAGCCTTTTGCCAGGGCATCCAGCAAAGTTCTGACCCGTGGGGTTCCTGGGAGCCAGGACCAAGC